GCTTTATGGAGACTTTCTAATGTGCGTTATCCCGTTTTTACAGCTCGTCTCCATTAACGTTGTATGGTTCTAGTCGAGCGTTGCCACCGCCAGCTCATCACAGCTCGGCCAGACCGTTACTGGCGAGTCACGCAGCACATCCGTTGCCTGCGCATATGCAGCCTACAGCCGTTTATGGATTGGCCCCGCTTTCGCCAGCAAAACACCAATATCAACCTTCCAGTTTATGGTTTACCGAATAAATTAGTCCCGTCGAGCTCCGGATAGGAGTTGTGTACGAACAAATAAATAACGGGTAATTGTACGATTTTCTGGGAACTTACGAGCCGCTCGTGCCAATTAGCGAACGTGTAATCGATCATCGTAACGAAGAAAGGAAAATGTCGTCGCGCATTTTTCCCGTCTTCGTGCACCTGGCCAGTAAGTGAAGCGGATAGGGAATGTCCGAACCGCTGCGATTTGCAAATATGATCGATAGCACGATACATTCACGATCGAGCAAGTTTGTCAAATGAAACGGGCAGAGAGCACAAGAGTGCGTTAAGGCAAAAAATTTTGACAATCCGTCCTGTATATAAGCAGCGATCACTCCCTTCCGACCGCTTTTGTAGGAAGCGAGACACGAGATCACGGTCAATGTAATAAGATCTCTTTGTATATGTTTGTTACTCTTATGTGTCCGAAACAGTCCCCAGTAGTTTTGATTGTCTATCGTGACAATTTCATCATAAGGAAGGAAAAAAAATCAAAGAAGAAAGACTATCCTACTTTGACATTCAATCGTGTGAATTGCACTTGAATTAACTTCTCACGAAATCTCACATTTCTTTCTTTCTTTTTTTTCCAATTCCCTAAGAGACACATCTTGGCGTATGCGGCATGCTTTAAATTTCGTAAGTTTCCAGAGAGACACCGATTTTATTACGGAAACGGTAGAGTTTATAAGGAGACATTGTACAGATCAAAAATTTTCTATCAAGTTGTCCCCGATCTGCTTAAATGCACACACTCTCTCTCTAATCGTACATAAAATATATATATATATATATATATATATATATATATATATATATATAATATATATATATATAATATATATACATAAATATATATATATAAACTATACATATATATATATACATATATGTATATATATATATATATATATATATGTACATATATATATACACATATATATGGAATTGAAATGTAACTTAAACAGATCGCGACCGTTAATATCGATGATAGATGAGATATGCACGTAGTAATGCTGATCCACGTGCGCGTGGGGCTGTTATTTAACAAACATCCATCATATGCGATTTACATATATATATGATTTAATTTAAGCACGTATAAATCTGCATTTCTTTATGATATGTCGCAGTATCGCGCGCGAATATCTTGTTTTTAATTTTAATGCTCCTTAACAAAATGATTTTAACGAAGTAGGTTTTCTCCGATTGTTATAATAACAATCTTTTTGTTCTTGCTCGTGGAATTTTTCGATTACATTAAAAATTTCGCTGTAGGATGTAGCGCTGTATAATATTTTACAATATTTTATTCATAACGGGCACTCAAGACTAATGAGATAGCCACATTATTCTTTGTAGTTTGTAACGTGTTAAACTCAAGTATACGTTAACATATATATATACACACACATACACGTACACACATACCAACATGTACATTATTTAGTTGTATCGCATACTCTTCGAGTAGGATTATTCGGATTGTCGTAGGTATAGGGATATACGTCAGAAATAAGCAAAGAATTTAGAATTGAGTCACGAATTTATTAAGGTGATTGCACGACATCCGAATCGATAAAAGCTTTGACGTGCCTTTTTTGGAACAGTCTCATTATTTATTCTTATATTATTCTTTGTATCATCTGCATCATCATTCTCATCATTGTCGTGCTCGTTATCATTTTCATTATCATTATTATTGCTATTAACAGTCATGTTCCATGCCTAATATTTTGTTTTGAATTATGTAAATAATGTTTTACGGGCAGTATGCCTTAATCTCGTGGTTTGAAATGCGAAATTACATAACCACATTTTTGCAAGATTCATGAATTGTATATAAACGATCTTTTATTAAAATTTCTTTTTTCGTTAATGCTTTTGTTTTGGTGAAGGCTGTATTAAAAGAAACTATAAGAATCAAGTATATTGCACAAAGTCAGTGGAAAACAGTAAAAGAAATGAGATAGTAATAGATTTTGTTTTCAGAAGTACAGAATAGAATTGATAGGATTGATCTCTTCCGGAATGCTAAGAAAATAAAGAAAGAAAAAGGGAAGGAAAGAAAAGCATTCCGTGAGAGAAATGTATGCCAAACAGCAATAAAGTATCATAATGGCTCTTATGATAAAGAATTTATCGTCGAGATATCACAAGCTCGCATATTATATTTCTTTTTCCGTATATAGATATAATAATAATGATGTTTAGAGGGGGGGGGGCGATGTTCTATTTATAGATAGTTTTCATAAAACGAGTTTCACAATTACATTTTTCTCGTTCAATCTCGTTCTTCCTTGTTGCATTTCTCGAACAGTAGTCAACAGCATCCTTCTTACATCAACGATTTTCACTCTAGTTTATCATTCTCAGGCGATATCATAGACGCGGTACGCACATACAGTTTTTCAAGTATCGGCGTCGTTATGCAACTGCTAATACATGTATTTCGTGATTTTATGGAATAACGCTTATAGGCATTGTTTCGCTAATTCTATTGATATAAATGTATAGAAAGTTTGTAATGATATAATATTCGGTATATGTGGGATTAATTGCGGTATGTTGTTTAGAGTGATTCACGTCCAGAGTTTAATTAGAGATATTTTACACGTAGAATGAGAGAGGGGGAGAGAGTGAAAGCGAGTGAGAAAGAGACAGAGAGAAAGTAAGAGAGGAAAAAAAAAATTACAGAGTATATAGATATATAAAAATATACACAAGTGTAGTGTAGGTGTAACGGAGTTTTAAACATGTTACCGTATCAT